TTTTTTAATTTAATTTTTTATTTTATTTCATTTTTAGTTTCAAAGCAAATGTGAACTTCTGCTAACAAATTTAAGTTTAGTCGCCCCATGCTGCAAGAGACCAGGAGCCATGTGGCCACAATTAGTGTGGTTGTAAATGAGGAAATAAGTCCTGGTGACAGGCATGACATATTTATAAAGTTTTGTTTGCTTTCCTAGCCACAGTAGCGCAGCTTCTTGTAAGAGCAACGTGACTGTGTGTGGCTCTGCAGAAACCTGGACAGTGTTACTAATTCTTGGTTTATGGTTAATTTTGACTTTAATTCAATTTTCACTTCAAGTATGAATCAACACTTTGAAACTAAATCTAAGCTAAAGAAAGCACTTAATTTTTCCTCCAGACAAATGCTAGTAGATAAATAAGTGTGGGTAATGGTTTAAAAAAAACCAAAACAAAACCACAAAAAAAACCTGAAAAAACAACCTCTTTACTGAGGAACCTAATCACTAGTATGGTCAGATATTATGTGCCCAAAGGCGTATTTTTGTTACTCCAGTTTTAACCTAATAATTTATGCATTCACTAATACATGGGCCAATACCTATAGGTCTGCCACACATGAAGAATTTTATGATTTAAGCCTTTTTTTCTCTGAAACTGTTTGCGGTACAGAAGGATAATCACAGTAATTCTGAAAGGATCAGAATATCTTTAAACATAAATGACCTTTGTTTTGTGTTAAAATCTAGTTAAATTTGCATAGTTTAGCGCAAGTTAATGCAAGTTGCGTGGTTGTGTTTAAAGTTACTTAAACACAGTTTAAACAGCAGCCACTACCAAGGACTGTTTTATATACCTCGGCGCTGGGCCATTGCACTTATTATTTCAAAGCTTTTTGGTGTCGTAGGTTGTAAGACTTACTAGATTTTAATTTGGATCAACTGGCTTAAGTCTACAGCTCAGAATTTTCTGCAGCTGTTCTTTTAAAGATGGATGTGGTGTAGTGTGTTTTGCTTTTTGATTTTTTTCTCCTTAGCCCTGAAAAGGGGTAAGATCTCCTTTTTTTGTTGTCAGTTCAGATTTTTTTTCTCTAGTTTATTTTAACTACTCTGTATGAGTGTCATACAACTGGAATAACTTTTACTGAAAAAGCGGGAAGAAGGTCTGTCACAATGAAAGCTAAAATCACAGTGGAGAGTACAAGCAGGAGTTTGTCCGCCTTGAGCTCCTTCAGGCGCTTTGAACAAAGGCAATTTCAGCACCCAGTTGGCTTCTTTAGTTAGAAATAAGAAGTGTATTACTTAGTTAGGTATCATTTCTGGTCATTGGATTCAGTGCTCTGGCCAGGTAAATGACCATTCACATAGGTCAATTTTTTCCGAAGATGCTAAAATCCAGCTCTGCTGTATGTTTCAAAATTATAATTATTCAGTTTCATAAAACTGAAGGATGTTTTTCTTGGACATCTAGCATAGCAAGTAAATGTTGGAGATGGAACACTGTATAAAAAATAACATACTGACAAAGTAATTACTTATTTTATGTACACATTTGAGTGTCCTGGATATCCTACTGCTTCAGGAAAATTTAGACCATCTGGATTTAGTTTTAGCTTTTGATCTTCTGCCATAACCCTTACAATCACCTAAGCTATTTTTATGCAGTATGTAATACAGTTAGCCATCCAAGCTTACAAGCCTTTGTATTCTCATCACGTACGTATCTCCTGTACTTCAATTTTTTTTAAAACATGGAGTTTTTTTAATTTGGTTTCGGGCTTTGTATTTAATGGTTTATATGTCAGAAACTCTCTCCTCACGTGAAAGTTCTTACATGATTTTACCTCAGTGTTGTTAATTTTTGTTGTGCAACTGCAGAGAAACTTCAAAGTTCTAGGACTGAAGAACTGTTGGAATACTTTAAGCTTTGTTGAACAGCGTGACAGACTTTGAGGCCTCTATTCTAATTTTATTGAAAAATAAAAACTCTTGGTTTTTTGTTGTAGGCGAGATGGCAGACCATTTCCTTTACTTTTAACTCTCCTGAGCAATCCGTGTGACAAATTTCTGCTAAGGCCCAAAGGGTCTTGTCAGTCTCTCTATCAGTCTTCGTCTGTGTGCTTTTGGTTTGCTTGGGTCAGGGTGTAATGCAGAATTGAACCTGATGTTTCTGATGTGCAGCTCCAGGCAACTATTTTTGACCAAGCCTGTTCCAGCCATGCTTTCAGGTGAATATGTGTGGATGGGATTTTTTGCCTTCACTTTTGGTTTTGTGTGGGTCGCAAGGTCACATGGACATGCAGGCTCGTTCTATGCTTGGTGTACTCCTTAAAATGTTCTGTCTTCCTAATGAGTCACATTTGACAGAGACAAAAATTACGTTGCTGTGTTTCATTTCCCCTGCATACTATGATAGTTTACTTAGGCAGTAGAAAGATACAGGGGTTGTGTGTAAACATGTTCCTTTCGCATTTCTGGAGCATAAAGGTCAGAGCTAGAGAGCTCTAGTCAGCTCTTAGCAATTAGTAACTCGTAACTCTGCTTTAACTGGATTGTCTTTGTTACTGGAAAATAGTGTCTGCTTACGTTTCACATTAAATATTTTTTAAATTAACATTTATTTTGCACTTTTTTTTTTTTTAATTCTCGCCTTAGATGGTAAAAGCAATCCAAGTTCTACGTATCCATCTGCTTGAGCTAGAGAAAGTTAATGAACTCTGCAAGGATTTCTGTAGTCGTTACATTGCCTGCCTGAAGACAAAAATGAACAGTGAAACTCTATTAAGTGGAGAGCCTGGAAGTCCTTATTCACCTGTGCAATCTCAGGTATGTTTCAAATACAGCTAAGTTTATTTCTACTTAGATTTCCTTAGAAAGTTATAACTACACTTCTGTTGCTATTAGTTTGCAAACAAGGTTTCTGCAGTTTTCTTCACTTTCTCAAAATTGGTTCTTAAAGAATAGAAAGAGCTGTATGTTTGAGGTTTTTGTGCACACCTGTGTGCCACTGTCCGATGGACAAATATGTTGAAATGTGCCAGAACATAAAGTCACTTTTTTTTTGTCTTAACTGCTTTTATGATTTTCCCTCAGTTCAGCAAGTGGAAATATCTAGAATAGCCTGGGTTTGCTATTTTGTTGGAAGGTGGCTGGGAAACAAACAAAGGAGACAAAGAAAAATCCCTTGTTTAAGAAGTTTTCCTTAGTCTAGTCTGTTTCAATAAATGGAGATTGCTGATACTTTTTATAAGCAGTCTGTATTCTGGAACAAATAGACAATGTCTGATGGATTGTAGTTGCAGTCTTTGAGATGTATGTCATTGCACATGACCTGGGATAACTGTACTTATGAACAGTGCCAATATCTGTACATGTGAATCTCAGGTTTATATATTGTTGACATTACCCCAATGCAACAGGCAGTTGCATTTTTTGTAGTACATTGGCAACAGTTAGTTAACAACAGTTACTACATTATGATTCATGCTTCTGCTGTTAGATGCTGGAAAGTGAGACCTGCCACCTGAGAACCTACTAGATGTCTTAAGGGGATAGTTCTTCTCTGACTTACTGATCTGTGTCATGCTATGTGTTCTGAAAAGCCTCAATGACTTTTAAACTTCACTGTCCGGATTCCTTACTTAGGTTTTGGTATCTGGAAGAGTAGAAAGGAGAGACTAAAATCAGACAGAAACAACTTTCAAAAGGTGTTTTTTGTGTCTCTGTTAGAGTCTTCAGTAGAGACAGGAGGGACTGAATTTTGCACTTGGTAACAATAGAGATTAAACATACGTATTAAAGAATGTGTAGGAGTTTGCATGGTCATGGTTGATTAACAACTATCCTGAGCAGAATAAAACACGTAGGGTATTTGAATACTTAATATGTTATTTTGAAATTGAAGGAATTAAGGTAATTTAATACATTATTTTGAAATTCATAGAATCATAGAATGGCCTAGACTGGAAGGGACCTTAGAGATCATTTAATTGAAGGATTTAAGGTAATAACTAAAATTCTAAAGCTTTGATCGTTTTAAATAAGAGTACCAAGGGTCCATTTCATCTGTCCTTTTTGCCTTGTGCCTTTGGAAACTCTTAATTTCTCTTAGTATTTATATAGCTAGAATAATTTATTTCCTAAAATTTCTCAAGATAGTTTTACGTCTTTTCTAACAGTTACTTTCATGAGGATTTTCAAAGGTAATGGTTAATGATAATGAGAAAGTTAATGTAGAAAATGATGAACCTCTAATGAAGTCTCTTTCTGTTTGAAGTTAATCCTGTGATTAGACTCGAAATGTACTTTTAGAGCCAAATTTGCACAAGCATGCTTTATCTCCTTAAAAAAATAAATTAAAAATGCAAGCAACTAATTGTTTTGTTTTTCTAGCAAATTCCAAGTGCCATTGCAGGCACACTCAGTCCCCAAGGGATTATGGTGCCAGCATCAGCGTTGCAGCAGGGAAATGTAACTATGGCAACAGTAGCAGGTATGACACAGTAAAGAAAAACTGGCACCTTACTCTTCTTTTTGGTTTCTTTTATAGTTGTTGCAAAAAATACACAAATATTTTTAAAAATATGCTTTAACTCTAATGTCTGAGAAGTTGTTATAATACAGTCAGGTGCCTTACTGGTTCCTGAATGTTTGTTTAGTTTATATGTGTACCAAATACACATATATGGGTGGAGTTTACTTATCTGTAATATTAAGATATCTTTCTATGCAGTGCTACTTTTGTTAAAAGACATTTCAGAGACTGGGATTCTCTTTTTTTTTTTTTCTTCTTTTTTTTTCTTCAAGAAAAGAAATCTGTTTGACAAAAACATCCATTAGCTAAAACAGTTGCACTTGCTATCTGATGTTCTGTGGAGTTTGGAACCACACCTACAAGTCTATGAAATCCTTGATGTCCAAGTTGTTCTACTGTTGTTTGGAGATGACACTTGAACTGAAGTGTTTTATTTTGCTTCTAAGCAAGACTTTTAAAACAAACAGAAAAAACCTTAATGACAAATGCAGCAAAGCAATGCAGCCTGTTCCTACAGCATATACTTGCAGGGAGATTATCCTGAGACACACTGTGTGCTTTGTGGCTTTGGTGCCCAGGAGCACCTTAAGCATTCACCAAAATTTTGTCACCTTAGTTGACCGGAATATCTAGGTGTCACCCAGGTGACTGCCCTAACCACTTGACGCACATAAACATCGTTTTTATGTTGTGACCCTTGTTGGCTGAAGAGTTAGCTCAGTTTAAGCAAAGCGATGAAAAATTTTATAGCTTGATAGTTACTTGGTTTTTCTTTGAAAATAGATTTGGAGTGCCTAAAATAAATGGAAGCATAATCAAATTCCATACTATTTTTGTGGATTGAAAAAATTTTAGTGTAGCAAAAAGCACATCTTATAGGCTTACTAGAAGGTGATATTTGATCTATTATCAAAACTATTGTATTGTCTGCAGTGCTAATGTGATTGTGTATTTAAAGAGAATAATATTTGAAGGGCTTTTACTTACCTATAATCTTGGTTGGGTTTTTTTTGTTTTAAGGGGGTACAGTGTATCAGCCAGTCACTGTGGTCACTCCACAAGGTCAAGTGGTGACACAAGCACTGTCACCTGGGACTATTCGGATCCAGAACTCTCAGGTTTGTTTCGTGGGCTTCACAGATTCGTATTCTGCCTTCTTATGAATCTCATTGGTTTTAAACATTTTGGTTTAAATTTGACATCCTGTCAGAATGAGCTCTGTGTACATACATACAGTAACTAATGTAAAAATTAACGGAAACACTGTGAGAGGACTTGCAAGTTGTGGCATAGGGTCCAGGACAAGATCTCCCTTACCTGGACAGGTCATTATATTTCCTACCTGTTAAATAATCTTTTTTATTTTTTTAATGATAGCAGAAAAGTGCAGGTATATGGATTTAAAAAAATAATAAAATTAAAAACCCCACCTCCAATCCCAACGAATAAGCAAACCTCTTCCCACCAAATCAAATAACTCTCTGAATTAACTAGACACTTTTTTTGATGATTTTTTTTAATTGTCGAGCTAGCTTTATGACTGGGTAGATTTACTGTATAGCATTATGGTGCAACACTGCTGTTGTCAGAAAACTGACTTTTTGTCATGATGGGAAACAGTAGTACTGTGAAACTGTATGTATTACAGAATTTATGTGTATTGAAAAGTATTTTCCCGTAAAACTTTCAAAATACTCAATAGAGACTATGGGAGATCTTCACATTGGGCTCATTATACCCTAAAAGATAAGGACCAGCACTCTTCTAGGCGAGGCTCTTATGAGTTGCATCTGGAGACCTCAAAAAAACAAGAAAGGAAAAGGCAGCATGAAAACTAGACCGTCTGCAGTTAGGGAGAGCCTTGCTCTTGGAGCAGAAAGTGGTATATTGCATCTTCCAGGAATCCAGTCAATTAAAAAAGTGAATGAGGATCTACCATCTCCACAGCATAAAATCTGTTGGTAATCACTGACTCACTGTCTTCTCTTCTTCCTGCTTCTGAGCTTCCAACTGAAGATTGGCAGTAGCTTATATGTTCTTGCCCCTATTCTTCCCTAGAATGCATGGAGTTCTGTCCTCAGATACCTTTCAGAATGAAATGTGTACAATTACTCTCCTAGACTGAAGTGTTTTTGAAGAAAAATGCTTTTTATCCCTCTCATGAAAAAAACATAAAATACTGAGTGGAAAAAATACCTATAGCCTATAAAGGAAAAAAAAAAATAATTTAACCGACTCTATGTATCTGTGGCTACTCTCCATGTTAGTAGGTATCTCCAAACCCACCTGTGCATTGATTTGGACCTGTATACCCATAGGAAATGAAATACTTCTTTTTCACTGTTTCTGTGAGGTAGGAGAAGGTAGAGGAAAAATACTGGGGAGAGTTACTGAAAGTTCATTATAAAGCCTCCATATAACGGCAGATCATTTAGAATCTAAAACATGATTTTGAAAATAAAAATAGCCTCCAAACATACATTTGTTGTAATTTGATAGCTTAAACCTCGTTTAAAACTTGTTTCATACAAGATATAGACATAATGACTGGCTTGAAGAAATTGCTTTATATTGTCTGAAAAACCTGATTGGGAATGATTTCAGTTATAATTGTTTGAAATAGAATCTCATACGCAGTTTATACGCTCTTTTGTCTTATCTCTACATACGCATTTAAGAACATATTCCCTAAGGTTTAGATGACTGATGTACAAGTGATTTAATTTTTCCATAGGAAGTGGGGGGAAAAAATAAAAAAGCAAAAGCGAGAAAGAAATATGAACCTTTAGGAAAATAGTAAAGTGAGTTGAGGGGTCTGTCGTATACATCTTCTTCCTCTATGAGATTTTAGATTTAACAGGACCTTTAGCACCTTTTTTGCAACTCTAGCATAATAATTAATTTTAACTCCTCAGGTTTAGTCTTAAATCAGTACTGTATTACAGTTTCCATAGTTGTTAATGTTTGCATACAGTGAGTATATTCAGCATTGGGTTTTTTTCAATTGCTTTTCACATGTGCAAATAGCTACATCGGGTGACAAGGCCATCAGATCCTTAGGGTAGTATAGATCAGTAGAGAGGATCATTAACCTGACGTTTACTACATAGGTGGATTTTTATTCTAAATTATAATAAATTGGCATTTGGCTGGTCTCACAGGATCGCACAGACAGCCTGGTAACACAGAAGTTACATGAAATATGAAAACTACAGAAAACTTACACAGCATTTTTTCTGAATAAAGACATTTTCAAATGCTGTTGTGGGAGAGCTGCTATTGTAAGTCTTTCCTAACAAATAAAGTAGCTTTTTACAATCAGCATGCCTCAAGCCTAATTTATTTTCATTCCTCCTATAAATTAGTTATTCATACATTGATACCGATTACTGTTACTACTATGTTAACTGCCTTATTTCTTCTGAAATTATATGTGCAGCTTCAGTTGCAATTAAACCAAGATCTAGGCATCTTGCATCAAGATGATGGCTCATCAAAAAATAAAAGAGGAGTTCTTCCCAAGCACGCTACAAATGTGATGAGATCTTGGCTTTTTCAGCACATAGGGGTAAGGACTGAACATGATCGAGGTCAGAGGTTTTTATGTAACTCTCTTATGTGGTCTCTTATGATTTTGCTTCATAAAGAAGGTGAATTTATTCTGTTGTCATTTGTGTAATCTCAGTTCAGTTTTCCCTGAAGTCATTTGGAGTAATTCCACAGTCTGATGTTGGTTGATTTTATTACTATTTTAATAAGTATGCTACGTTTGTACCTCATGATCTCAATAAACATTGTTAAAAAGGGATCTTTCTTCATTTCATTGTGTTGAAAGCTTAATGCTGTCTACACTCTGGTTCATGGCACAAGGAAAAAGAGTTCCATCTGTGTTCTGTGGGATTTTTTTGTAGTGGATTTGAAATTTTGTTGCTTTATTGTCTTTCTAACAATCCTTCTAACATGTACTGAATGCATTACTGTCTACTTGGCCTTCAACAGAGCTTTGCATAAATGCTTATCCCAAAAGGATAAATGTGTTTTAGGTTGCATCATGGTCTTTGGTTGATTGATATTTTGTCTTCTACAACTATCTTACAACAAATGATACAGGAAAGCTGCATGCACGTGTCTTAAGTTACATACATACTCGTCATTGGTCTAGTTCAGAGTAGTTTTATTTAACTAGAAAATGCATGTCAGTACTCTCATATGACATTGCCTTTGGGCAGCATAACTAATCAGATCTGATCACATGCTGTGTTGCCCAGGGATCACGCTGTTTAATAAAGACTGTCAGCCATGAGAAGCTTTTTCTTCTGAATTACACATCAGCGGTTTAATGGTATCATATACACTTTCAAGGATAAAATCAGTTTTGTGTAGCAAAGCACTCTTTGTTAAATGATTTTTATCTATAAAAGTCTGTGAGGTTTCTAAAGTTTGTTTTTTAATGAGTCAGATGGTCTTAATCTAGCAGCTTTAATCAGTTGTAATAAAGGAGTCCTTATTTTTGATGAGATGAAACAAGCTTATGCCTTTTTTGTTTGCTTTTTTGTCCTGTTCAGCATCCATATCCAACAGAGGATGAGAAGAAACAGATTGCAGCACAAACAAATCTGACACTACTCCAGGTTAACAACTGGTAAGAGCAAAAACTCTTTAATGTCGTCGTCTCCACATGCTTACAACACAGAGAAATAGTTAAAGAGTTTAGCTTGGACATCTGGAACTTACTGATCTATGTATATTACAAAATGCATATAAAAATACAAGAATTATGCACTGGTACTCAAGCTTGCTTTTTTTTAATGTAAAGTGTAATAATACTTGTGCCATTTAAGTTATAAGGACTCCAGAAAACTTCGAAACTTTTAAGGAATTACATTCTACTCTACAGCCAAAAGAGATAGAGAAGTACTCTCGGGTCTCTTTTGCAAATGAAAAAATTGAAGTTTAATAGCTTTATTGACCTGATGCTCTGAAAAGCATTTTCTGGTAATTTTGGTTGCAAATGTTTAAAAAGTTACTGTCGACAGATACTCGTTCTGCTCTTGTATCAAAGGTTGCTATCCCCTGAGCAGTCATGTGTGAATGGAGGGCGTCAGTACCTCAACTACTCTAGTTCATGGTTCAGCATGTTTTAGCATGTTGTATCATCACTGAAAGTTTAAGATAATACATCTGCCCCTGCAGAAGAGAGGAGCGAGAGTGCTTACATGCATCCTATTCTCCTTGTGGTATCGGTTCCTAAAATGATTGCAGCTAAGGCCAACAGGGATCTTCCTCCTATTTCAAAGACGACACTGGTTGCATGGCTGCGGAGGGGGTCCAGTGGGGAAATACTCAAGGTATTGGCAGTAACCTGGTTCCAAGAGTGGAACAGTGAAGCTATGCCTGTGTGACACGGTAGTAATGGAGCTCTCTGGTACTGGGATCTGACTAATGTCTCTGCAGAGTGTTGCATTGCAGCACGTCGACCTACCAGCTGCACCCTGCTTCCTTCCATTGCAGGTAAAGGTGGGTCCTGGATGTGTTTTGTCAGATTTAGCAAGGGATGATAGCCGTAGTCACACCTGGCTACGTTGAAATTGATTCAGTCAACTACTGGTAGCTGCGTGAGACGCGGTTTAATTATTTTCTTGTTCACTAGCAGAAAGGGGAAGGGCAGCAATTGGCAAGCTAAAGTAAAGAAGTAAAAATCAGGGAATGAAAAGGAATTGAGAAAGATCTGAAAAATGTGTTTGCTGTTGTCTCTTGGATCAGGAACCAGACCTTGGAAAGCCAAGATAAGCCTATAAAATAAGTAATGCAGGGAGCTTAAGGAAGTCAATGAAATCAGAACAAACAAACTAGGTTAGGCAGGGGCTAGATTTTAGGTGAAGCCTAATGAAAAGAGTATCAGCTTTCTGAGCTGTGCTGTCAGCAAGTTTTCTGGTGCTTAGTTTTTAATAAGATCTCAAAATGTACATCTGTCATGCTGTCTGGAGAATTTCCTCTTCTGAGGTGGAAGAAAAAGTGCTGCTAGCAGCAAAATGATAGAAGTACTTTCTTAGCTAGTTTGCCAAAATCAAAGTATGCCAGTGTTCTAGGAACAGTTTTACACATTAAAAGAATGTCAAGCCAAGATTTTAGGAAGAATATTTTATATTCCTGTTTTATTTTTTTTTCCCATTGCATACTTTGTGAATCTGAGCACGAATTTACAGCCAGCTGGTGATAAGTACTTTTTGCCTGTGATTGCGTTTAGGTTTATCAATGCTAGAAGGCGAATTCTTCAGCCAATGCTGGATTCCAGTTGTTCTGAAACTCCGAAAACAAAGAAGAAAACGGCTCAGAACCGACCAGTTCAGAGGTTCTGGCCTGACTCCATTGCCTCAGGAGTTGCTCAGCAGCAATCTAACGAGCTCACAATGTCAGATGGTAAGGAGGACTGGCTAAACTACAGATAATAAAGTTAATTTCTCTGTAACTGGGAAATGAAGAGTTTGATGACTTTGGAGCAAGGACAATTATTGATATTTCAGTATAAATGTTTTTTTTATTTTGGAAAAACATATCAAAAATGTGTCAATTTTTCTGTCTTTAAAAAATTTCACTGTTTGGGGGGATATTTTGTTGGAATTTATGTTGAGAGATTGTTGCATTTGTTTGAAAAGTTATGGAATGGCAGAGCAAAGGTTAGAAATGCAACTGAGTTCTCCCAGTATGTGTGTGCATGTCAGCAGCGTTCTGTTTGATCAGCAGTGCTGGACTAGTTTCAGTTTCATGACTGCCCATCATTTTCACATTCCTTTCACTATTGCTGGAGGGACTGAGCAACTGCAATTCTGTAGACGCGTTACTGCGGCATGTGTAGAACACCGCTGAACGCTGAGTTGCAGGGAAGCAGAAAAATGTAACAGAGCCTCCCAAAGACTTTGACTGAATTAACCTCCTTAGCATCAGATCAAACAAATAGATTCAATTCAGAAAGAGAAATAACTGCTGTAATCTCAGGACCATCCTTTCTGTGCTGCTGCTTCATTCCTTTATTTTCTGTGGCAGCTTTTCCCTTGGCCTCTGGTGGATCTGACAGCAGCTATATCCACTGAAGCCACCTTGAAGCTGTATGAATGCTCCCAGTTTTCTGCAATGAATTAAGCTAGAATACTTTGCAGAAATGGCCATGTGCCTGTGACACAGCTAAGTTTAATATTCCTGGCCAACTTAATTCGTGTTTAAGTGTTTGACACCCTATATAGCTTTTAATTTCATTCAGTTGCTTAGGTTTTCTTTCTGTTGATAAGAAACAGATTGTTATCTATAAATTTGTATTGCCTAAAACAAGGAACCGAGAAAGATGCTAAAGTGCTATGATTGTGCTTCTCCAGGTGCTGTTGTAACAATTACAGCTCCAGTCAACATGAATGTAGACAGTCTTCAGTCTCTGTCATCCGATGGTGCTACTCTGGCTGTTCAGCAAGTTATGATGGCAGGGCAGAGTGAGGATGAGTCTGTAGACAGCGGTGAAGATGATGGAGGAGATCTCTCGACAACAAATATCAGTGGGCTGGTCTTGGATAACAGCGATTCTCTGCAGTAGGAAGCAAGAGAACGTGACAAAATGCGTAGGAAAAGAATGGACTGACTGACTGACTGTTTTTATAGTTTGCACAGCAAACATTTTACACAAGTTTTATTTCTAATATGTTTTATATGTAGATATAGAAGGGTGCACTTTTTTGTATTTCATAGTAAGCTTAAAGAGTGTTTTTGCAGGTGCAGCAACTTCTTTCAAATGTGTTTTTTCATTTCTTTTCCTTATTTCGGAAAACTCTATCTAGTAATATAAAGAACCACATAAGCACCCCTTTGTTCTATGAATTGGAAGTGCTGCGATTTCTAAAGAATTATGCAGTTTCCATTAGTGCTGTTATTTAACACAGCTCCTGATGGGCAGGTGATGTAAATTTAAAGCATGTGACACTAGTGTGTGGAACTTGATCGTTAAGTTAGATGCATATATTTGAAAGATGCTTCTGCACCTTAAAAACTGCTAGTCTGAGGTGGACAGCAACACACATAAAAAGAAAATGTTGACGTGTGATTCAGTAGCGAATGTATGGCAATTTAAATAAGTTTAGTTTCTCTCATAGTCCGTGAGCCTGTTTATCATTTGCTATAAAAACTCCTATTTTTACCTTGCCGGGGTTATTGGATAAAAAAATATTTTTATAAATTCACTAGGAATTGGGATGATGACTGTATTAAGCAGGAGGGGAAAAAAAATGAATTTCCAGAGGGGAAAAATAAATGTTTAGTATTCCTATTTGGAAGGTCTGAAAACTGACCAAATTTAATAAACGAGCCTACGCTACATTCTATGATTCTCAGCTATCCCACAGTGATATAGTATATTTGATAGTAGCATAAGAAGGGCCCACGATTTGATGGGATTTTGATATTGTCAAACATTGATTTATATTATGTGTAAACTGATATTCAAATTACATTAACTCTGTATCTAGACTTATATCTGATGATATTTGCTAAATGAGTATTCAGGTAAGTAAATTCAAATACCCACAATTTTTCCAGTTAGTAGAGAAATTTAACAGTTTATAGTTTGTACCACTGAATCCAAAAAATGAAAAATTGCCTACTGTATAGTCATGAATTCTGCTATCACTGGTGTTTTATTGCATTTGAAATATTTTCCCCTAATACAAAAAGAAATATAACTTATGGATTTATATAAAATTTCTTTAAATCTGAAGGTCACTACTAGAATATACAACAGGCTTTATTAGAGTAGAAAGTCCTTGTGTGCCATTTAAAAATTAAGAGCTAATGTTGAAAATGCTTTTTCCTTTGTGGTAAGTTAATTTCAGTTTGGGTTTTTTTCCCCAAAGTTTGGAATCTATGTCTGTCTATCCATGAACATTTACTTTCAGAACTTCCTATTCTGTATTGTTAAGTACAAATAACAGACTCCAGGAGTCTCATGGTATGATCAACGTTCTCTTTCCCCGCCCTGTCCATTTGTCACTATGTTGGGTGAGGTCAAAGCCAGAACTTCCTTCTGATTTAGACCAAATCTAGTTGCATTTCTAATGTGACAGGGAAAAAGACGTTAGCGTTTAGAATCTTTAGACACTGTATTTGTACAAAGCCCTTTGACAGATGCAAATGTTTAATTGAATACTTAATTTCTGCTTCACAGAACCCTCAGGCATGTGCTTAGGTCCCATTGATTTCAGTAGGATTAACGCATGTACTTTTTGACATGCTTAAATGGTTGGAAACTGATCTTTAAAGATTATTTTCCAAGGCAAGTGTATGTTGGTGTGAAGAAAAACTCCAGAAAGAAATATCAGTAGCATTGGTCTACGTACGTGGAGAATAATGCTAGTTTTCAGTGACTAGTAGCTATTTTGAAAAAATTGCCGTTGAGTTTTACTCAACACAAGTGATATTTTTGCCACAACTTTTGCTTATTCCTGGTTGAGGATCTTGCTTCTTAGTTCGAATGCTGTAATGATCTACTCCATCTGGAGCAGGAATTTCTAAAGAATTGATTTCCTTTTACTTCTCCGCTTTGCCACTAATGTGCCATGCTTTATTAAAAAGCACAGTAAATGAATAATGGAAGACTTAATTAGGAAGGCTTTGGCATAGCATAACTATCTCAAAAACTATTGTCAAATCCAGTTTGACCCCAAAAAATTAAAGAAAACAGTTATCATGTACAAATCTTGCTACTCTGGAAACGTTCAGACTACTGTTCCTACAAAGGATACCTGAGATGACTAGAATCGAGAGACAGATGCTGTATTTTTTTAGTTGTTTTTTAATTTAACTCCATAAGGTGCTTCACCACCACAACAGTTTCCGTTATATTTGCTGGTTTCTTTGGGGGTTTCATTTGTCTACCCTTGTTCGTATTTAATAACGTGTTAATCCCCGTGCTGCTAGCAGGTAGGCAGATGAACAGTCTGCTTCTCAGTGTGTTCAGGCCTACGGACAAACGTGTGCTTTTCCAAATCAGCGTGTGCTGGAGGAACAGGCCGTTTCCACAGTCTCCCTTCCCTCCCTGAGCAGCGGATGGATGCTGCCTCGGATCTGCCCACGGAGCTTTCCCAGCCTCCTTTGAGGTGGCCTAGGAAGCAGCTTGGCCGGCAAATCTGCTGGGGTAGCAGGTAGCTGGCAGGGAAAGGAAGAGTAAACCCAAGCAGGCAAAACTTCGGTGATACGGAGGTAATGTGGCAGTGGGCATTTGCCCACGCTTCAAAACTGTGAGAACAGAGATCTTAAAAAGAGAGAGGATATTAAAACAATTTAATACCTATACAGTTGGCTGGAAGAGCATTCAGGATTGTGTAGTTTGTGCCACTGGGAATTCAGTTGGAAACAAGCATGTATCAGGGTTTATAAACTTCTGAAAGTTTTCAGAAAGAAACTGTTATCTGGTTAGCTTTTTTTTATTCCCTGCACCTTACAGTTTTACTCTTCTGAAACATTTGTGACCTTGCCTTCAGCTAGTTTTTCAATACCTCTAAGAGAAGTTGACAGCATTTACTGTGAAAGGGGGAATGTGGAATAGTTTCACCATCAAATTAAAGACCTAAAAACATAGAGACGTGAATTTCTAAATCTAAAAAGGCTTTACCAATACAATCAAATGTATTGCTTAACATATGGAACTCAAACCTTGGTTTCTAATTCAGTGAGAATTCTGTAGGGGGTATGAACTGCCCAGAAGTGCTTGTTCTTTTTTTTTTTTTTAAATTGTGTAATGTCCTCCATTTTTACTGAGAAAGATTTTTGTGAGAAAGGTTGCTGATTTAAGCAAAGCATCACTATTCAGGAAAGGTACGTGTTTACATTAGTTAAAAAAAATCTTTAAAACTTTAAACTCATGTATAACTCTCTCCCTGCCCCAAATTAAAATCATATTCATATGCAATACAATTAATGTGTTTTAAAAAAACAACAATGTAATTCTTAGGCAGTTGTGATTACTGAAACTGTTGTGATTTAATCCCAGGCAGCAACTAAAGATCATGTAGCCTGTTGCTTACTCCTCCCTCCTCCAGTGGAATGGAGAGGAGAATCAGAAAAAAAAAAAGTAAAACTTGTGGATTGAGGTAAGAGCAGCTTAATAACTAAAAATATAATAATAACAACAACAATCATAATAATGAAATAAAATAATACTACTAATAATAATGAAAAGTAATATTAACAAAAAAGAGAGATGAAACCCAAGACTGCAGTTGCTCACCACCTACTGACCAATGCCCAAGCAGCAGTCTGCCCCTCCCAGCCAGTTTCCCCCAGCTCATATACTGGACATGACATCCTGTGGCATAGAATATCATAGAATCATGGAATCATAGAATGATAAAGGTTGGAAGTGACTTTAAAGACCATCTGGTTCCAACCCCCCTGCCATGGGCAGGGACACCTCCCACTAGTCCAGGTTGCTCAAAGCCCCATCCAGCCTGGCCTTGGACACTTCCAAGGATGGGGCATCCAGCAACCTCCTCAGGCAACCTGTTCCAGTGCCTCACCACTCTCAAGGTGAAGAATTTTTTCATTTAATCTAGTCTAAATCTACCCTCTTGCAGTTTCAAGCCATTTCCCGTTGTCCTATTGCTACAGGCCCCTGTAAAAAGCCCTTCTCCAGCTTTCCTGTAGGCCCCTTTCAGGTATTGGAAGGCAGCTATTAGGTCACCGGAGAGCCTTCTCTAAGCTGAATAATGCCAGCTCCCTCAAGCTGTCATCATAGCAGAGGACATAGCCCTTTGACTAGTTTGGGTCGGCTCTCCTGGCCACGTTCCTTTCCAGTTTCTTGTGCTCCCGCTTGCTGGCAGAGCACAGGAAACCAGGAAATAATTTAGGATAAGTGGTACCTGGCAACAGCTAATCCATGAGTATGTTGTCAGTGTCAGGCTAAATCTGAAACACAGCACTGCACCAGCCACTAGGAACAGAATTAACTTTATTCCACCTGAAACCAGGACAAAAACTTTTTAACGTTTTTTCAATGTCATCTAGATCATTGACTGAGAACTCTGTTTTAGGTTTAATTTTTCCAAAACTTCTGTAACAGGGAAGGCAATTTCCTGTTGTTCTTCAAATTTAGAAGCATTGTATTTTAGTAAATTCTTTCAGATCACTCAAGATATATTTTTAAATGATGGTTCCAAAAAATAATCATGTTGGAAAAGACATAGAACCCACAGGTATGGCTCTGACTCTGCAGAGAGTTTCTAGATCCTGGATACTGGGTGAAAGTGGAGTCCTGTTGACCTTGGGGAAACTCCATATGGCTGCATTTACCTGCAAGAGAGTTGGTTCTGTGTTTCGGTCCCTGATGGCTCTTGAGAACCTTTGGGAGAACCCTCCAGCTTGTACCTTGCCTTCGTACCTTCATGTTCTTCCAGTGGAAGTCAGGCTGTGAACGAAGGGCTCTCTCAGAAGGGTGGGAGTTAATGCTGACCTAGTGTGTGCACCACGTATCAGTTTGATGTTCAAAATCTGGCCAGAAGGCAGACCTGCACTGAGGAATTAAGAGCTCCCAGTTCCTGTTTTTTAAAAGTAGCGTCAGGTTTATGGATCCTCTAGTGGAGTAGAGCTGCAAAGATTTAATACATGAATAATGTATTTGTTTGCTTCTGGAGGAATCAGAAGGCAGTTCGGCTTCCTGAATTCATGAACTTGACAGCCCAAAAGATGAAACAAAGCCTTTCCAAGGGATGATAGTTTAATAAAACCATTAGACTTGTAGCACTTAAAAGAAACAAAGCACCCTGATATTTTGAAAAATGGAACATATGCATTTAATTTTGATTAAAGTTGATTTAAGATTTATTTTCTGAGCTGTCATCTTGGGAGAACAAATGAATTAAATAATTGTCTATGCAAGACACAAATGTCAAAAATGTGTGAATTACCCATTTTTAGGTGCTGTATTGTTATTGTCTTTCTGACTTCTGTTACTTAGTCTTTTAAACCTTTCAGCCTTATATTCAGCTTAGTTTTTAGAGTTGAATAGGCAAAATGTACTTTTAAAATCCTGTTGGAAATG